GATTGATAAACAGTGTCAAGAAGTGGATGCAGTAGTTGGGGTCGTTATGTACAAAGAATATCGAAGATAACATTTATTCTCTTTCAAAGTTGATCCACGCTGGCTGACTTTTACCCAGCACGCAGCTTTCATCACACAAACGCAGGTTCATGGACATTTAAGCTTTCAAAGCTCAGCTGGTTTGTTGCTAGGACATCAGGGGCCGGGTGCAGCAAGCCCCAACTCGGGATGGGTCCCCAAAACTGCATCTCTGGACGCTTCCCTATTCTTGACCATGAGAGTTGCGTCATCGACCAGAGTAGAGACGCGGAGTTTTGGGGACCTATCCTTGAGTTGGGCCTTGCTGCACCTATGTGCAGCTTCCTGAGACGCAAGATTTTCTTAATTTTGTTTCTTGGGTGTAAAAGATAATTGAAGCTTTTTTCATAGATAGCTGTGCTAATAATCTGGGGAGGGATGACCGAATTGTTTTTCTTAATAGAAAAATGTTTAGATGTATTTCCTGCGGCAGTTATTTGCGTTCATTTGGTCGCCATTTGTCCCAGCGAACTCTTTTTGAGCCTCTATCGTTGTGTACTTGCACACCGCCCCATGGGTTCGTATGATGCCGTCCCCGTCGAAAAAACCAAGCTATCCTATTGAGAATGGAATAAGCTGCAACAAAATCATTGGAAGGCGCTTATCTTCAGCTGTAATTTTCTGGTTTTTAGGTTCTCGTGTGGGAGGTGTAACATTACTGATGAAGTACATGTAGTAGATGGTGTTCTTGGCATATATTGAACAGCTGAAACAATTTAGCTCCGTTGTTGGCTCATCCTCCTCGCAGCCTTTTCTTCCGACAGAAGTTAGTGTGGTGGAAGAACGATGTAGCTCGACCTCCATTGCCTGAGTTCGTGGAAATTGCACGGGAACGAGGTTTGTCTGTATTGAAGTTTTTGTATTGCTGTTGATTATTTTCATTTAAGTTGCCATATCTTCTTCTATGGCATACTAGTTGAGTCAGAATGGAACAATTCCATTCCATGAATTTCAGCATTCAATTCCCGAGTAGACCTTTTTTGAAGAGAGTAAATTCAATGTCATCATCGCCCAAAATAATAAACTAATGAAGATTCATTTCTCGATCATCACAATTGATTGTGAGATCCAGACTATTTTGTTGAACATCCCAGTTTAGCTTTAGTTGGTTAATGGTCAAATCAAATAAGAAATATAAGAGCACATTGTGATTTAATCAGTTTTTTTTTTTGAAAAGCAGAGCCTTGGTAAATCTCAAATACCGTTCCAAATTCGAGCATTATTACACTTCTGAAGAGGTGACATGGAGCATTTTTGCTGAATTTCGTTCTTTGGTAGTTGTCGAGGCTCCTAATCGAATATGATATTAATTTTTGGCGCCAAGTTGCTTTAATTGGGTGCTGAACACAGTTCCCACCTAAGTTGCTGTTAAATTACATATAGGGGTAATTTGGCCCTGATCACGAAAAGACGTTGATTATTTAGGGTGGCATTTTTTGGCGTAGTCTAAAGCCACGGCTGCATCCACTTGATTCGGTGAATATGCGTGAAGTATTTATTCGGCGTCTTGAATGGAATACATTTTGCAGTGGTCCAAATTGGCGCAGTCCGCTCAAATTGCAGGGTCGCACACATCGTTTCGACCTAATTGTAGTCTGTACGGCTTTAAATAATTCCAGGATGATAGTGACTAGATAAGACACCCATTTTCGTTGGTCTACTTCCTTTTAAGATCAGACTAAGCGATCTAAACACTGATAGGAGCTGCGAGCAGAAAAGTGAGGAGTGTAAATAATGCTAGCAGCCAAAATGTCAATGTTTGGCATCAAACACCGAACACGTAAGTTCTCACCAAATTTTGTGAAAATAGCCGTTGTGCAAATAAGTGTCATATTTGTGGTCAGGGATTTCAACAGCACGCACAGGAAATCATTCAGCGAGATTTGTTGCTCCTTCCCATTCTCAGTGGGATTGTGCCAGTAAAGCCAAAATTTGGTTTTGTATTGTTCTGATTGTATGAGCCATGTTGTCTACGGAACACATCGAATAGCTATGCGTATCTCTCCGATCAATGCTATCTATAGGCGCTCGCTTCCGTTTCCTCCCTCCGCTCCTTATCAGCTCATTTGTTTGAAAGGCATTTTATCACCCTGAATTTTCGTTCGCAAACTCTTGGATCTGCATTCTCTATTCATGTGAGTTTTGCCGATAGTATTGTGGTTTTAATGGCTACACCGCTGCTTCGATAATAATCCATTCGTTTCTCGTGCGCTAGTAGTCAGCAGATAACTCAGGTTTATATACGCGCAAAGATGAAGTACTGCTCGATCCCGCTAGACTTTCAAAAATTGCAGAAACACATATCTGTCCCTCATTTCGTAAACTTGGTGTATCCAATATTTGTGGCCCTTCAGCTTGGTTATGCAAACGCTAGTACTTTGGCGTCATATAGCGTACGATAATATAATACTAATATGCTAAAGATAATAATCGTATTTCTGTCCTCAGATATTCCTGTGAAATTCAAAATAGAATATTCCACATTTTTATAGTCTGTGTCGATTTTTCTACTATACTTATTGGATAACTTTTTTTCCAGTGGGACAAGTGAGTTGTGCAGGAGCGGCTCTTTTGTATCGCGGAGGACGTGCTCAGCTGAAAAAAATCCGAGCTCGGGATACATTTCGCAAAGCAGCGCAAACAATACTGCACTTTTCTCACATTTTTATGACAATGAGAAGTCTTGGTATTGGATCCATCGGGGTGATCGTAATGCAGAAACACACTTCAACACTTTCATCATAGGACACCATTGCATTCTCTTGCTTGCTTTATGCTTGTTTTCAAAATCTATTATTTCCTTCTTTACTGTTCAATGTTACAATACAATAGCGCTACGAAACTAAAAAAGGACAAAAAAAGAATAAAAATATGAAAAATCGATTCACGTGTGTGCAATTCACAGTAACGCGTTTATCCTCTCCATCTTCTCGGGTACTTCTATTATTTAGTTTCGTTGTGGGTGGGGATGATTCATCAGGGTGAGGGAGGGAGAGGTAACATTAGACTGTGCACAAACCGACACACCGCACAGTAGTGTGTGTTGTCACCTGTGGTCTTATCCAATCAATCCCATTACTACCCTTTTCTAAATCTTACAATGCCTTTAGTCGATAACTGGACGACAGTTGGAACATTATTTTCTGCATTTTCATTTTACAAATATTATTTCCGTGTGTTTAGAAAATTCCTATGCCGCGAAAGAATTGTCCAAGATTTGTTAGCACGCTGATACTGTGCTCCTCCCCTATTGCTTGCCGGCAATTCAGCGGGAAAATGAACGAAATTTCAAAAAAAATCCTTCCCCATACGTGCTCTGGGGAGCGCAGCACACGATTCATATGACTCTGCACTCTTTTTATTGTTTGTGCTTGTTGAAATCATCTTGATTTTCTTCTTGTGCATTTAACCATTTTTTTCAGTGCCAAACATGAACGCAAACGTTCACCATGAGCGAACTGTTGCTGGGCCATCAAGTCGAACTAGGAACAGGTATATCATTCACTTAATTATTTGCATATTTTCGGCACAAGTTATAAAAAACAGGGTTGTGAGGGATGCGACCTTCCTATTTTGTCAGAAAATGTTCAAGTTTAACGCATGTCGTTTCACGTTACTCTTTTGTTAATGTTGAAAGCGAAACGAACTAAGCTCGAGCTTCAGTGGCATGCGCCATCCTGTCTACCACTCGTCGCCAATGATTGAGCAACATGTAGATTCGATCCTCCAAAGAGGACTGCCCAAGACTTCAAATAGTCGTCGAGTGCTTCCCTGACTTATTTTTTTCGTCGTGAACTTTGTTCCTTCAGTGAGTACTCGAGGTTGCAAATGTTCAGCTCACGTGGACCGCATTAGTGGGCTGGATCGGGTATGACAAGAGTGACAATTTGCTTTCAGGTGCATGCTGTATCTGCAAGCATTAAGTTCTCTGAATATTTAAAGCAACAGTCTGCAAGGTTTCCTTCAATATTAATGGTGTGGAACGATGCGCTAGCCCTAGTCAAGAACATAAGAAGTGTGACTGAACAAAAAACTCACCTTGGAAAGCCGCTAGAAAGGGAGCTGAACAGCTTCGAAGTGGGCGTGGTTGCTCAATCGGCGGAGGGGATTCCGACAAATACTTCAAGAACACTTTTCGTGCTTCATCCCTTTTCGATAGACTGTAGTTTTTCTGTATGTATAGCTAAGCTTTGATTTCATTCTATTACAGATCTCGAGTAACTCCGTTTTGTCCATGTTTCTCGCCAACGGTAAGCGATTCTGACACTGATGACGACAATGCAGTGCAAAATGCTGGAAGAAGTTGGAGCAGCTCAGTTGCTGAAATGGTTCGACAACGCCTTGCAATAGTAGGCGAAGCAGCTAATCAATTGGCTGGGCCAGCAATTACACGACGATCGTGTTCGTTTCACCTTACTGTTTGCTTTTTTTGCTATTATTTACTTTTTTGGGCTGCATTTGAAATGGCCTTGTCAAGCATTTAGATATGTTGGGAATTGTACGGTGAAAAATTTGTTTTTGACGCGAAAATGATCAATTCACAGTGGTACCTGACGATTGTATTTTTCAGTACTAAACGATGAACAAAGCCCTACTGTTCACCGCATCGTGGAGTATTCGCACCATCTCGTCCCGGATATTGACAAGATCCTC